TTGGCTTTACTTTGCTTTACTTTGCTCATTATTGGTTCTTCAAAATTTTGTGCCCACTTTATCATACAGTCTTTAACTAATTCTGTTTCAGAATCCATTTCTATTAATACATTATATAACCTTTTTATATGCATTTGGCTTTGATCCCTAATTTGTTTTAGTAGATTGTCCTCACTTTGCATAACACCAATTTTCTGATCTTTTTTCCATCTGGCCTGTAACTGTCCATACTGAAACCATGTTTGGATTGCCTTTTCCTCTTTCCACTGTGTCCAGTGGACCCACCGATGCTGGTCGAGACCATTGATGGCCGGGTGCTCCTGTCTGGGCCTATCAAGGCTGCCACACAGCCCTTGCGCCTGGTCCTCGGGGATCACGAAGGGGCCATCCAGTTTTACATTGCTTTGGGTCTGCATTTCCCCATGGTCCTGGGCTTAGCTTGGCTGTGGGCGCACGACCCTCAGATTTATTGGTCACAGAATCTGATCACGTTCCCGTCCCTGCAATGTGTCAACCACACCCTTCACATCTGTGCAGGCCAGGTGCTGAGTTTGCCCAGGGTGTCCTTGCCACCGGACTTAGCAAAATTCATGGACGTCTTCAGCGAGCAGGAGGCAGACCAATTGCCGCCGCACCGGCCTTATGACTGCCCCATTGACTTGGTACCAGAAGCGAAGCTCCCTGTGGGTCACCTGTACTCCATGTCCAAGCTGGAGTTGGCCATATTGCGGGACTTTCTGGACAAGAACCTCGCCTGGGGTTTTATCCAGCCCTCGTCTTCACCACTGTCTGCTCTGGTCTTGTAAGTCAAGAAGAAGACCGGGGATCTGAGACTCTGTTGTGATTACCGTCACTTGAATGCAATCATGGTGTGCAACCGTTACCCTCTGCCTCTGATTCCTGAGTTGCTGGAGCGGCTCCGGGAGGCGACGGTGTTCACAAAACTGGACTTGCGTGGTGCCTATAATCTGGTCCGAGTCCGGGCGGGGGACGAATGGAAGACGGCCTTCGGCACTCGGTACGGACATTTTGAGTACACAGTCATGCCGTTTGGATTGACCAATGCCCCAGCCATCTTCCAGCATTTTATGAATGATATCGTCCAGGACCTTTTGGACCAATTTTTCATCATCTACCTGGACGACATTTTGATTTACTCGGCTTCTCGGGAGGATCATCGGCAGCACCTAGGCCTGGTCCTGCAACGACTTCGGGAGCATCGTCTGTACGCGAAGCTGGAGAAGTGTCAGTTCTGACAGACTACCATCGAGTTCCTGGGGCACTGTATCTCCCTTGAAGGAATTGCGATGGAGCCCGGCAAGGTAGAGTCTTTGCGCAGTTGGCAGCCTCCTCGGTGAGTGAAGGATGTCCAACGACTCCTCAGGTTTGCCAACTACTACTGGATCTTCATCCCCAGCTTCGCTTCCCTGACCGCGCCCCTCACTCGGCTCCTGCAGAAGAAAGTGCCGTTTTGTGGGGGCCCTACGGAGCCCACGTGTTCGAGGCCCTGAAGCACGTCTTCATGAAGGAGATGATCTTGAAACACCCTGAACCCCATTGTCCGTTTGTGGTGGAAGCGGATGCATCAGACATCGCGGTGGCCGCGGTGTTACTGCAGGTTCACGCCCCTGGCGGCACCCTTTTCCCTTGTGCTTTCTTCTCGTGGAAACTCAATCCTTCCGAGCACAATTACACCATCTGGGAGAAGGAGTTGCTGGCCATTAAGGTGGCGTTTGAGGCCTGGAGGCATCACCTGGAGGTGGCCAGGGATCAAGTCGAGGTCCGGACAGACCATAGGAATCTACAGTTCCTAAAAACAGTGCGCAAGTTGAACCAGCACCAGATCCGGTGGTCCCTGTTCTTTGCCCGGTTCAACTTCAGAGTGACCTACATCCCGAGTG